AAATATTGAATTTTGATTGTATGTTAACCATATTTGACTTTTTACTCAATATAGTTGATTTTCAATCATTTGAGCCATTGATTGAGCCAACTTATGATGTAGGACTTGAAACTTTACATGAACCTTGTTGGAGATCTATGGAGAACCATGGAAATAATTTGAGACCTTTTCAACCCAAATTTCTTTGAGAAACTCAAAACCCTAGTTTTAGACCTTTGGCTTAGGAGGAGCATCTTGATTGGTCAACCATTGAGATTCTTGAGTATTTGAGAACCCTTGAAAGCATTTCATGAGAAATTGGGAGGGAAAATTTTGGGGTACAACATATACACTCCAAGTTCTTCATAAAAAGTAATTTAGCATAATATCCTCATCCGGGAAATCAAAATTCATATACTGATAGTCATCTACAGCTTGATGAGCCAAATTATCTGCCAGTACACTTCCTTTGATTGCCTTCATAAGTTGTGAGAGATTGTGGATTTTTGGATTTGTTGGTAAAATTCAAAAATACACATATTTAATAAAAAGGGTGGCCTCATATTTAATCATTGGCCAATAATAAAATCGTTGTTTGTAAATGCGTAGAAAATTGTGAAAGAAGAAAAAGCTTATTGTTCTTAGGTTGTTGTCTGATAAAGCCAACAACCCTAGAATAAACCAGAAAACAAGAATTATAAGTGTTTGGAAGAGAGCAAATTTTGTGGATGATAAAGTATGATGGACAATAGTCCTATTTATAGGCTTAGAATGAGGTTTAAAAACTTAGCAAGTAAGTTATCCAAAATGAATGAAAAGTCCAAAGTTTGATCTCCAAAAAGGAAAGAAAATTAGTAACAAATAATAGAAAAAATGTTTAAAAGTGCAACATGCAAGATTCGAGCCCGCGACCTTATACTTGGAAGCTTAATTCCTTATCAACTGTGCTATATTACTATTCAAAATAAAAAGGCAATTGAAATTACATGAAGACGAGAAAGTATTTGTTTATTCAAAAATACAAATGATCTAAAATAAATTATTATATTTTTAAATAGGTTTGAAAGCGAATATTTATAAAAATCAAATAATATTATATAAAAAATGTTGAAAATATTTTTGACCGTAGAAATAAAGGGCGGGCAAATTTGGGGTATGACAGATAGCCACATGATAGGAGGGATTGATCATAGCCCCAAACCCTAATTCAAATGAATTATAATGATAAATATCGTGAACCAACCATTCTCATGCCTAGGGAGGGTACCTGTGATGATGAGACTTCAGATATTCAACTCTTGTAGGTTAGATCTCTTATCTTGAGTGGTATAGACTCCCACAACTAATACCTTTGATCCCATACCATTGAATTAATGCAATGCAGATGAAGTCTATGATGATGAAGCATAAGCTATTTAGGTTTATAATTAAGATGACAAATTTTAGGGTGCAACAATCATCATTTTCTATTTAGTTAAGTTCATTTGATCATATATATTCTAACACCATCTATCCTCTGACAACTTGGCATCCATCAAGACTCGTATTGATGAGATCTCAACCTCTACAGGGAGCACTTCTTCCATGCCATAAACTAAAGAAAAAGAGGTTTCCCCTGTTAAAGTATGTACAAATGTATGATATCCATGCAAAGCAAAAGGTAGCATCTTATACGATTCCTTGTAGGTTACACCCACCTTTTGCAGAATCTTCTTAATGTTCTTATCAGTAGCTTCAACAACCTTGCTCATCTTGGGTCAGTAAGGCGAAGAGTTATAATGTTCAATCTTGAAGCTTTCACACAACTCATCCATCATATTATTATTCAAATTTGAGCAATTATAAGTAATGATCTTATTCGGGATACCATACTGGAAAATTATTTGATTCTTGATAAACTTGACGACAATCTGCTTGGTCACATTAGCATAAGATGGTGCTTCAACCCACTTGGTAAAGTAATCAATAGCCACCAAAATAAAACGATGTTCATTTGAAGCTTTGGGCTCAATCACGCCAATCATGTCAATTCCCTACAAATTTACACCAAATACAAATTAGCAACATAGAAATTACAATTTTAAATTCATAAGTCTAATGATCATATGGAAGAGCTTCTTCGTTTGATCCACTTGACTTTAGGAGATGCTTCTTAGTGAGCATGTGGGTGACCCTGGACTCTTCTTGGGCATACCAATTCTGTTGATAGGGCAATTATTCTTGATGTAGAGGAATCACCAGTAGTAGTGGCATTTGAGGCGTTGTGTAGGCCTATAGTTGTCATGGTGAAGGGCTGCCTTTTCTCCATTGTAGGACCAAGCTCCATTGAATCTCAAATGCTTAATCTCCTCCTTCCATAATTTCATACTTTCTTAAGTTCATTTACGGGTACTAAGAAATCATCTAGCATATGGGTAATATTTGGATAAGGGCGAAGGTGGAAATGCATGAGATGCAAATGTATGAATGTATATGAATGCATGGGTCTGCAAAAATATTTTTTGGCTTTTAAGGGTATGCAAAAGAGTTTCATGGATATGCAACGTGGACGTAGTATGAAGGTAAATATAAGGGTACCCTATACGAGTTTAATGATAGACATGGAAATGAGGATACCCTATACTGACTCAAAGATTGAGACAGACAAGAACTCCTTAAGGATTATGGACCTGCACTGACTCAGAGATTGAGACAAGCACGAACTCCTTAGGGATTATGGGCAATGAAAAACGAAGAGGAATACCTACAAGCTAGGGATTATAACAGAGGGGTGGGAATTCCTACAGGCTAGGAATTATGATAGACCAACGAACGATTGAGGTGAAGGTTGGACTTGAGGGAATAGCGTGGAAGAGAGCACATGATGACCGATCAACAGTCACCAGAACCCATTGCCTGATATAGACCACATGGTGTGCATTAGCGAGAATGTCCTTCATGGGAAGGTTTCATATGGAGAACAAGATCCTATAAAGATTCTAAGGACATGGACAAACAAAAAAGATCCCTACATGATATGAATTATAACAAACAAAGGAAATCCCTACAGGCTAGGGATTGTAATAGATAGACAGAAGCCCTACGGGCTAAAGACAGTAATAGATGTAAAGATAACCCTTGCATGTTTAGAGATTGTGGAAATGGGATTATAAAAGGTATCCTTAGTTGATAGGTTCCTAGTTTCGGCCTACGGAAATTCTACCCTCCTCGTAAGGTGGTTTCCTTAAGAGTATTATGGATAACACTAGAGGGAAAGGCACAAGGGCCTCCCTTATGTGGAGCCTCTTTGCATACCGAAACTTTCGTCTCTAGGTCATGAAATGTCTCACCATGAGATTTTGGTTTAAGGGTTATACAAAGAGTCATAGGTTTCATTCTAAAGTCCTACCCCTCAAGAGGATGTATCTTGAGACGTATTTCTTTTTCGAAATTCCATCGACTCTAGGTGAAGTCGTCACATAAACTTATAGGGATGTTGTATCCCATTGGCTAATAGACGAACCTTCTTTCTAATGGTTTTTTTGAAAAAAATATTTAAAAAATAAATTAAAAAATCCCATCATCAAATGAATATAATATGATAAAAATAAATTAACATAATAAATGGAAGCAAATAAATAAATAACAATAAATATTGAAAACATTAAAGATCCAAACAAAAAACCCTAAACCTAAGAGGAAGGCTTCTAAACCCTAGGGTTGATTTTCCAACAGAGTCTCCAGATGTTGTAATCGGTTTAAAATATAGAGTCGACACCATTAATTTTTATCCTAAGGAAGGGAATATAATGGATAACCCTAATTTGATCAGAGATTCTAAGTTGTTGACTCGTTTTAGACGAAGGGAATGTGTTAGGCATCTCCAATCTACCTTGTTCACAAGGATACTAGGGTTTAGATTTACAATTCAAGAAATAAGGTTTTAATTTTTATTAGGGGAAGTCGCCACGATTTTAGTCGTATGTCTACGTATTCTCTTATGAGGAATCAGAGTCCCCATTCGTAGTTTGAAGTGTTGGCTGGTGCTTTTCAAAGGATTTTGTAGAATTGCTTTCGAATTATCCTTGAACCTTGTTTGGATTGTAAGTTGAGTGATCGTAGACACAGTTCGCATTTAATTTTAAAAGTAATTCTATTTAATCTTTTTTTGAAAATCTTCTTGAGGTTTGATTATGTTAGTGGAAGAATGATTTGGTCGTTGGTTAGCTGTTTTGAATTTCGATTTGATTGAAGAGTATGGTAGGACACAGAGCGTGGGGAGTCTAATAAAGTCTCCTCATCACGTGGCCAGATATTGACCACATGTCTCCCGTGAATGGAGTAATTAGTGAGTTGCATGAATTTTAATTTGATTTTGAATATTTAATTGTTAAGACGTTGGGTCAACTAATAGACTATTTAAGGATGTTTATTCTATTATTCATAAAAATGTTAGAATTAATTATGACTTACAGATGATTTGATTAATATGCATGTTAATGATTTATTTACGAGGTCTATTTACAAGTTAAGAATGATGTTAAATTAGTTGGAAAAATTGGAAATATGTACGAATCGAATTAATTCTCCCAAATAAATAACCTAATTGAAGTCTATTTCTTCTTTATCTATTCTTTGAGTAAAAGGGATGTCCATAACATAGAATTGAAGTAAAAAAGGCCAAGGCCCATGGCTTGCACCACACCCTAATTTCATCTAAAAAAATATTAAGAACAAATAAAAGGAAAAGAAAACATAAAAAATTATGGTAGCTTGGGGAATGAGGTGACCCACGTGATTCTTATCAGTAATAATACCTAATATGTGTTTGACCTTTCTATAAAAATTTGGTCCACTAAAATTAAGACATGCGGCACTTAGTAATAATCAAAAAGAACAAAAACAATATACATATACAAAATACCTTACACTCACGGGAGAGAGAAGTAGAGACTCTGGACCCAATGTTTCTTCTATTGTGATTAGTTTCTCTTTCTCTTCTTTATCATTTTCCTATCATGAACTTGTATATCTCAGACAAATCACCCATAACAAATAGAAAGGATACGTACCGATGGTGGCAGCACTGAGATCTGAGAGTTGAAGATGCGGGTTCCACGGCGGAGTGGTGCCAGGGGCAGTATCGCAGCGGAGTAGAGTCGTTCGGCTGGGGGTAATCTGTGGAACTCCCGCGGTGTTCGGTGCAACGTGGCCGGAGTTGAGTCGGTGATGGCGGAGGGAAGTGGAGTGAATCCAAGTCGCAGGTGGCGCAGATCTTCATACGGAAGCTGGTCGAGATATTGAATGGTATATGTTGATAAGATTTGGAAATTGACAGGTTGCATTTGAATTGGGATTACATGTTCATAGTGATAGAACTTGTGAAGAATTCTTTCTTATGGTTTATGAAAGGATGGTTTGAATTAGTGACGGTTAGTGAGACTTTTCTCTATGGGAGAGAATATGCACACAATGAGTTATGTTTTAGAGCAAGTATGCATGAGTGGAATGAGTTAGTATATCTGGTGAAATATGTATCGTGTATGTTTTAAAGCAAAAAATATATATACAATGTGTGTGTGAGAGGGAATTAAAATTCGTTGATGTTTAGAAATATATGCATGAATAAAAGGTGTGTTAGAAAATTATAACAGATAATCATCATGTGGTTGAAGATCAAAGTAAAATTAAAACAAAAATAATGTTTTGGTGATTAAATAATTATGGAATTTGTGAATGTAGCAGGTAAGTTGTGAGAGATTGTGGATTTCTGGATTTGTTGATAAAATTGTTGATTTAATAAAAAAACCACTAGAATCATCATTTGGTTAAATTAACAAATAAATTGAAAAATAAAACTGAAAACAAAAAGGGTGGCCTCATATTTAATCATTGTCCAATAAAAAATTGTTGTTTGTAAATGTCTAGAAAATTGTGAAAGAAGAAAAAAGCATATTGTTCTTAGGCTGTTATTTGATAAAGTCAACAACCATAGAATAAACCAGAAAACAAGAATTATAAGTGTTTGGAAGATGACAAATTTAGTGGATGATAAATTATGATGGACAATAGTCCTATTTATAGGCTTAGAATTAGGTTAAAAAACTTAACAAGTAAGTTATCTAAAATGAATGAAAAGGCCAAAGTTTGATCTCCAAAAAGGAAAGAAAATTAGTAACAAACAATAAGAAAATATGTTTAAAAGTGCAACACGCAAGATTTAAATCCGCGACCTCATACTTGCAAGCTTAATTTCTTACCAATTGTGCTATATTACTTATTCGAAATAAAAATCCAATTGAAAGTACATGAAGACGAGCAAGTATTTGTTTATTCAAAAATACAATTGATCTGAAATAAATTATTATATTTTTAAATAGACTTGGAAGCGAATATTTATAGAAATCAAAGAATATTATAAAACCAGCGTTGAAAATATTTGACCGGAGAAATAAAGGGAGGGCAAATTTGGGATATGACATATAGCCACATGATAAGAGGGATTGATCATAGCCCCAAACCCTAATTCAAATGAGGTATCATGATAAATATCTTGAACCAACCAGTCTCATGCCTAGGGAGGGTACCTGTGATGATGAGACTTCAAATATTCAACTCTTGTAGGTTGGATCTCTTCTCTTGAGTGATACACACTCCCACAACCAAGACCTTTGATCCCATACCATTGAATTAATGCAATGCAGATGATGTATATGATGATGAAGTATAAGCTATTTAGGTTTATAAGTAAGAAGGAAAATTTTGGTGTGCAATAATCATCATTTTCTCTTTAATTAAGTTCATTTGATCATATATGTTCTAACACCATCTATCCTCTGACAACTTGGCATCCATCAAGACTCGTATTGATGAGATCTCAACCTCTACGGGGAGCACTTCTTCCATGACATAAACTAAAGAAAAAGGGGTTTCCCCTGTTAAAGTATGTACAAATGTATGATATCCATGCAAAGCAAAAGGTAGCATCTTATACGATTCCTTGTAGGTTACACCCACCTTTTGCAGAATCTTCTTAATGTTCTTATCAGTAGCTTCAACAACCTTGCTCATCTTGGGTCAGTAAGGCGAAAAGTTATAATGTTCAATCTTGAAGCTTTCACACAACTCATCCATCATATTATTATTCAAATTTGAGCAATTATAAGTAATGATCTTATTCGGGATACCATACCGGAAAATTATTTGATTCTTGATAAACTTAACGACAATCTGCTTGGTCACATTAGCATAATATGGTGCTTCAACCCACTTGGTGAAGTAATCAATAGCCACCAAAATAAAATGATGTTCGTTTGAAGCTTTGGGCTCAATCACGCCAATCATGTCAATTCCCTACATAGAGAAAGGCCATGGAGATGAAATAACATTGAGTAATGTTGGAGGCACATGAATCTTATCTATATAAATCTGACATTTATGGCACCTTTTCACAAATTGATAATAGTCAGATTCCATAGTCAGCCAATAATAACCTACCATGAGCATCTTTTTATCCATCAAATGTCCGTTAACATAAGTACCAAAGGATCCTTCATGAACTTCTTGCATTAACATGTTTGCTTCAAGTTTATCCACACATCTGAGTAAGACCATGTCAAAATTTCTCTTGTACAACATATCTTCGTTGAGAAAGAATCTGCCAACTAATGTTCTCAAAATATTCTTATCTTTGTTGGATGCCCCAGGTGAGTACTCTTGACTTTGGAAGAAACATTTGATATCATAGTACCAAGGCTTACTGTCTGATACTTCTTCTGTTGTAAACACATGAGCAGGTCTATCCATACATTTGATTATGATCTAAGGAATCCTATTGTGGAAATTCACCTTGTACATGAAGGATAAGGTAGCCAGAGCGCCTTCCATCCAGTTCTCTTCATGAGGTATATGATGAAACTCCACTTTGTTAAAGAGATGCAAAAACCTCCTAACATAGTCTTTGTAAGGAATCAAACCTGGATGTCGAGTCTCTCATTCACCTTTGATTTGATTAATCACTAGAGTTGAATATCCATACACATCAAGGATCTTAATAATTAGGTCAATAGCTTATTCAAGGCCCATGATACATGCCTCATAAAATTCTGGTACTGACTGCCCAGATGTTGTACACGATGTAGTATCCACGTTCTGGTATATGATATCAAATCAGATGTCACAACATTACAGAACTGACAGTTAAAATAAGAAGTAGATATAAATTTTTGGAAGTAAATAACTCAAGTAATTGTTAATATAGTTCGGTGCAACATCACCTACATCTTACGGCTTCCAAGACAGGGAGGGAATCCACTAAAATAGTATTATTTTGAAGCCTAAGTAAACAACCTATGACTTACAATCTTCTCACCTAATCATTACCTGTGCTATTTCTATCTAAGACACTCTTAGATATGAGACCCCTCTCACTTCCCTTCAGTCACAAACCAGTGACAAACTAAGAATAATAGACAAAAGATAGAAGACACTCTTCAAAGACAAAAATCAGTTATGCTTAAAAGCTTATGACTGATGAACAAAGATAACTTGACACACAATCCACTCTTGCTTAAAAGCCTGTGAATGATTGACAAATTACAACACAAACTCAGTCCAACTCTAATATCAAAGATATAATAGAGTAGCACACAATGAATAATTAACAATGAACAAACTAAAAACCCTAATCCTTATTTCGTACACACGGTTTTTCCAAGTTGAGTTAGGTTTAGAAAGTCCTTATAAAAAGACTCTAGCAAGCATGGGCTTTGGGCTCTTCATCCATATCCAATATTCTAGCTGCCAATCTTCTGCAAAATCTTCTCCACAAAAATAGGAAAAAAATATAGGGTTTCCTAAAAAGTCTCAAAGATCCTTTTTATGAAATAAAAGAACTTATGTTATAGAACTATTGTTTATAAAATAACCCTCATTGGACTGCGACAATATGAGAACTAAAACAATATAGAATCTCATATTAAAAAAAACATCTTCCAAGAAGTAAAACCTAACCCTGCACTGATGTTCTGATATAACATTTTACGACATCATGCTCAACATCTGTCTGTAGTGATGCATGGCCAACATGTCAAGACATCTGTCACAACATCTTGCAGATATACACGTTTTAACAAAACTGCTTCCAATCATAAAACCACAGACCTAACACCTTATATTCTGCCATATTGTTTGTACAATCAAACATCAATCTTACATTGAAAAGGATGTGAGAACCATGAGGCATAATTATAATTTCCCCCAATTCCATTACCAAAAACATTGACAACTCAATCAAATGTCAAACCCCACCGAGATCCTAGCTCTGGTCCTTTTCAGGAAATGGTTCATTAGAACCTTTAGCTTTAAGGTACATAATATACTCATCAGGGAAGTCAAATCCTATGGATGATAATCTTCAATTTGTTGATGAGCCAAATGACCTGCTAACACACTTCCTTTGATGGCTTTCTGATGACTAACTGAGTTGTAATTTGACCATCTTTGTCATGCTTGTTATTTTTATGAAACTTGTGATTCTAATATTACAATATGAAGTAAGATAACAAAATATTATAGATTAGATGAGTAGGGACAAGATTGAATTAAATAGAAATTGATGGAAAAAAGTATAAATGGGGCGCCACAATATTTCTATGAGTTAGAAAGGATGATAAGCCTAAGTGAGGATCACCATAAGAAACTTGGTTTCTTGATAAGATCAAAAGACGGTTCAATCCAGAAATAAAGGAGCAATGCTCTCAAAATCACACAAAGTGTTTAACAAAATCCAACTTGTTTTTTCATTCAAGATTAGCTCTCTATTTATAGGTAAAGGGGAGCATACAATAATAACTCAGGAAATCCTATAACTTCCGCCCATTAACCTATCAATAATGGCTTGGGAATAAAATGTCACACACTAAAGGTGGTGGAGAAAGTGGATATTGATTGCCTTGATGAGTAATTGCAATTTATAACCACTTTAATTAATGCATCACCAACCTTTATCTTTCTCCCTCCTTCAAGGCTTTTCCGATTCATTTCATGAGTCCATTATTTAGTTATATACCTAAAAGCCACGGAATTTCTAAGCTTTAAGAGCTTTAGAATGTTTAAAAAGACACCCAAAAAATAAAAACAAGTGTTTTGGGCCAAAATTTAACAAGTTGGGCCCTAACACATTTTATTATAACATAGTTGATTAAAATTATCAAAATAGGGAAGCAAGCACACATGACACTTCCCCATTGGCTTGGATCAAAATGGAAATTCTTGTTCCATTTTCTTTCAATTGATCCTTTACTTCCATTGGTTTGTTCATAAATTTTATTAAAGCACCATTAAC